GCTCCTTCTTTACAAAACCAACAATGTTTTCCTCCAGCAGCTAAATAGAAGAATAAATGGAGGACACATCAGACTGAGATCATGGAGCCAAACATCAGATCCATGTTGGACAGACTGACAGTCCCATGGAGAAGTAGTTGTAGTTCATGTACAGACCATAAATATGGAGTCCAGCTGGGTTTGATGCTGCTGGGTAGATGGACCACTGGGAGCCTCTGAGTTCTGCTGGTCCACTCTGTGGAGGAACCAGGAGACATTAACTAACATTCTGTAGAACAACAAACAGAAAAAGGCCAAAGTCCTTTTGGTGTCCTGATCCAAAAGCAATAAATGGGGACACCCGTCACCAGAATGGATGCCCCTACCTGATCAGGGTTTGTAATTCTGATGCTCAGATGATGTTAAAAATAAGTGAAATTAATGAAAATTTATTCAGAATAACAAGTTTAAGATTTCATAGAATCCATAAAATACTATAGCAGCCTATGTTAGAAAAGTTAATCCAAAATTTAAAGGACGGTTGGAGATTTTTACATCCTTAGATGAATCAGTTTGCTTCATGATTAAAATGCTCACACATCTGCATCTGAGACCTAACAGGAGGATCCATTGGAAGAAATTATGCAGGTGTTCAGTAAGGAGACTTAGAAAATCTTTATTTTCATCTCATAAACTCAGAGTGTATACGTAAATTTTTTTTTTCGATGTATATATATATAGGGCAGTCGTGGGTGAGCGGTTAGGGTGTCAGACTTGGATCCCAAAGGTTACCGGTTCGACTCCCGACCCGCCAGGTTGGTGGGGGGAGTAATCAACCAGCGCCCTCCCCCATCCTCCTCCATGACGGGACGGTACCCTGAGCATGGTACCGTCCCGCCACACTGCTCCCTTGGGGCGCCGTTTGAGGGCTGCCCCCTTGCACGGGTGAGGCATAAATGCAATTTCATGGTGTGCAGTGTTCACTTGTGTGTGCTGTGTCACAATGACAATGGGAGTTGGAGGAGTTTCCCAAAGGGCTTTCACTTTTCACGTATACAGCTTTTCAACAGTGAGACAGAGCAGAGAACATTAGGGAACATTACTATTGATAAAGTGCAGCAGTGATCAGAATGTTAGGTGGCTTTAAAAAGGCATTTCTCTGCTTCAAATGAAAAACATCTTTTATTTCTATATTGATTTTCTATATTGAATAAAGTAAATAGAAACTGGACATAAGAAAAAAAAATTTAGTTATTTCCTCAAATGAGTTGGTTTGTTTTGCTCTTTCCCACCAACAGAAGCTTGTCTTAAACATTTGTGTTTTCCTATTTATTTACAGAATGACTCTTGAAGACGAGAGTTAAACATGACCAGATGAAAGGATCAAACTGGTCATTTATCTTGATTTGCCTCCTTTAGGTGTTTGATTAAAAGTAATCTGATTCAACATATGAATTAAAACTAAGGGAGAAAAACATCAGAAGCACAAATTCAGAAACATAATAATTGTCTAGAGTATGAACTGAGTACAACTTATTCTGTCATTGATTGTTTTTGTAAAATTTTTAACCTAAAGTCTGGCTTCAGCTGAAATCAGCCTGACCCCTGCTGGACCAACAGGGGAACTACAGACCTTTAGGAACACCTCCAACAATGTTTATCCTGAACTCAATGGAGACTGAATAATTTGGAAAAACATCCAGAAGAAACAGTTTAATTAAAAGGAATAAAAATTGGGAATCAAAACATTTCAACCTAAATCAGTTCCATTTTAAACATTTAAAACATTTAGACAGAGCTTACCTCTTTGCAGCTGAAGGTCGGTCTGATTTAAAATCGATAAGGCAACCTTTTGACATGTCACTCTTTAAGGAAACACAGCTGGGTTCTGGTTCTGGCTTGAAGTTCTGTTGGAACCTGAAAGAAAAACCCTGAATTCAATCTTAGTCTAATCATGTATTTAAAGTTAAACAATGAAGCCCAGAACTCTAAAGTGTCCCACAGTGGCTCTAGATTGAAGTGGATCCAAATATTTCTGGTTTCACTGTAAACCGTATATTAATGATGGATTAATAATTAGCTCTGATGATAATTAATAAGGAATGATGATCAAACTGCTTTAGAGCAGCAGCTTTATCCTCAGCTGACCATTTCTGAGCTTCTGTTCAGCTTTTTATGGTAATACATTTCATGGTGGTGCATTCAAGGACAATTCATTAATGTAGTAATCCACACTTTATATCCTATCAAAGCTTCATCTTGTTCTTATCGTCGAACTTCCTCCCAGCAGCAGGTCAATGATCTTGTATTTCTGACGACATGTAGCGGCTGCTGAAGGAGACTGTGGAGCAGTTTGCTAATAATCAGACTGAT